CCTGTCCGGCCTGCTCTTCACCCTGCACGACTTCTTCCTGTCGCTGGGCGTGGACGAGATCCGCAAGCGCTCCTCCTCAGACGACAAGCCGCTGCGCATGGTCAAGACCATCCTGCACGAGCTCTGCAAGATGCTGGTGGGCTATAGCTGCAGGGCTGGGGCCGCGCCAGGGGTGTGCAAGCTGCTGCGCGGCGTGTGCCGACCGCCGGTCGCGCGCCAGCAGCGCTGTGCCGCTGCGGCTGCCGCTGACCCCGTGCCTCCCCGCCTCCCCCGCCTCCTTCACCTCCCCACAGGGCTACGACATCTACCAGTATGCCGCCTGCATCCCCGGGCGTGACGCCGACCCCCAGCCTATCATCTTTGCCTACATCAGCCTCAACCTGCAGACCCTGAGCCAGAGCGGGCTGATCCAGGCGCCCGCGGCGGCGGCGGCAGCCGCGGTCCCCGCCGCCAGTGGCGCCGGCTCCGCCGCCTCTCGCTCGCCCAGCAGCGACGGCGGCGAGGGCGGCGGCGCGCGGGCGGCGGCGGTGCAGCAGATGGTGGCGGCCGCGCTGAGCGAGCAGCAGAAGGTGGAGCTCAAGGGGCGCCTCAAGGATGTGATGAGCCGGCTGATGCAGCGCGAGCAGAGCGGGGCCGCCATGCAGGAGCTCTACATCTTGCGCAGGTGAGGCTGGGTGCGGGTGCTGTGTGGTGTGGTGTGGTGTGGTGTGGAGTGGTTGTGGTGTGTGTGGTGTTACCTGTGCGTTTGTAATTTTGCGGGTGGCGGTGTGGGTGTGGTGTGGGTGGGTCGACCTTGGGCACAGCAACTGTTTCTCCCTCCGCCGCCCGCCTGTGCTGTTTCTGGGCTGTGTGCCTGCGCGTGCTCCAAGGGGCTGGGGGCCCCATGCCGACCCGTGGCCCGCTGCTGCTCGGTCCGTGCCACCCCCCCTTTTCCCCGCCGCAGCGAGTATCCCGCGTTTGTGGAGCGGTACATCGCCACCACCTCAGACATGTTCCGCCACTTCATCGACAGCGGACTGGCGGCGCTGGAGGCGCAGGAGCGGGCTGCCGGCGGCGGCGGGGAGGGCACGGCCGCCCCGCAGCAGCAGCAGCAGCAGCAGGCGCAGGAGGCGGGGCCTGGGGCCGCGCAGGCCGAGGCGGCGGCCTCGGGCCGGCGCACACCGCCGGTGCCGCCGTTGGCGCTGCAGCGCCCGCCGCTATCGCCGCCCACCGCCGCCGACGGGCGGCAGCAGGCGCAGAGCCCCGGGGGCGGCGCGGCCGCGCTGTCGCCTGCCAGCGCCGCCGCCAACAGCGTGCGCATGGCGTCGATGCGCGAGCGGCTGTCGCTGATGCGGCTCAGCACGGGCGGCGACGCGGCGGCGCCTGTCGGCCCGCCGTCTGCCGGCAGCCAGCCCGCCACCGGCCGGTCCAGCACCGGCGGGGGGGACCTGTCACACATGAGCAGCAGCCTGGAGGTGGGTGGGCGGCTGGGTGGCGTCACCAGCTTTCCTGCCGCTGTTGCAGCCACGCGCATGCTGCGTCCACAGCATGCTGCGTGTGCCGTTTCTGCTCGCCGCCGCCTCCCAGTCGCGTGCCGCTCACCGGGGGCGTGCGCCCCCCCTCCCTGCCCAGCTGCAGAGCCTGCAGCAGCGGCTGGCCAACCTGCAGAGCCGGCGCACGTCGCAGCAGTGAGGCGCCAGGCGAGCTCCCCCTCCCTCGCTGCCTATTCCTTGTCTCCGCCAACCTTGATGCCAACCGGATTTTATGGTCAACTAACTGTTAGCACCGAGCGATTAAACAGCCAATGCACCCCCAGGGCGGTGGCTGAGGGCCGCTGTGCGGCCAGAGGGGGTGAGCCAAGCAGTCCTGGCAGCCAGCCACAGGCATCTCAAGCCAAGCCAGCTCTCATTGATGTTACACACGCCAAGTTAGGAATACACTCTCTCAATATTTCAGTTCTGTTGGAAAGGAGAGGACTGCCGCTAAGGCCCCAGGCGCCTATGCAGCACCCAGGGCCACAGCCTGGATCTGAGCCGCGGCAAGCAAGCTACGGAAGCTGATGCGGCGGCAGCGGTGCCAATTGCCATTGCAGGCTGGGGTGGCCAGGAGGGCGTGTGGTGCGACCAGGGCAGGCACAGGTTGGCAGTTCTTCAAGTCCGGCTGCTGTGCTGTGTCGCGAGGCGCTGCCACACCTTGGACAAGGCAGGCAGGCTCCCGCCGGCATGCTCCAAGGGCCGCTCAGTGGTGCTCTCCGTGCGGGAAGCAGATTTTGCACCGCCACTGCAGGGGTGTCAGGTGGGAGCAAGGCGGGCCCGCGCACGGTTGGCGCCAGGAGATTGGCGGCAGGTGGCACGCTGATGCAGGCCCTTCCGACCCATGCTCAGGGCATGCGCCGGCTCAGGGAGGTGCACCCCCTGCCGACTCACAACGCCGTGCTCGCACATCTGGCCCGTCTGCTTGTGCTCCTCGCGGTGCTGCTGCCGCCGAGCGTCGGCGTGGGCGCGCTTTGTGTCGTGCAGCATGCGCTCCTCCTTGAGCAGCTGCTTGGCCGCCTCCGCCGCCTTCTTCGCCTCCTCCTTCTTCTCGCGCTGCAGCAGCGGAGGTGCACGGGCATGTGGGCAGAGGCTTGTGAGGGTTGCCGAGCAACGCGGAGTCCAAGCCGTGACCCGCTGCCAGCCGCGCCCCGCGCCGCACCTGCGCCTGCTTCAGCGCATCATGCACCTCGCGCTCGTGCTGCTTCTTGGCTGCAAGTTTGTCTGCAAGGTGGGTGCAGGCAGGAGGCCGGTGCGGAGGGCAGCCTCAGTGCTGCAAGAGCAGCAAGCGGCAAACCCGGCGGCGGCAACCGCTGGCGGCGGCAGGCCCACTCTGGCTGGCCCGTGCGTGTCGGAGGCGAGCTGGGAGGGCCGGGGGCCCGCCCCTCATCTGGTCAGGAGCGCCAGGCGGAACCGAGGGCTTCACTGGCCACCCGAATTGTCCAACCCTGTGCCCCGACTCACCTTTGTGATCCCCAGCCTTCGGAGGGCTTGTACCGAAGAGAGCCTTAGCCGCTTCCGCCATGAGTCTCGCCTGCAAGGCTTTGCAGCGGAGGTGGGTTGATGGCCTACAGCGACCGCACGATCTGAGCAGGGAAGACGCACCTAGATGTCGGGATGGATGGTCAGTGCGTTGGGCGAGAGTGATGGCCGGACGGGGAAGAGCTGGGGCCTTCATCTCGGGAGGTCTTCCTGTCCAACCGGAAGACGACCAAACGGGACGCCAAATGGCCCTCGTCCAACCCCACGTTTTTCCCGACCGATCTCCCAATCAGTCCCACGCTCGTTGGGCTTGCTTCCCGCTCGCGCACTCCGCCATCCCGGACATGGCCCCAAGCCCCAAGCCCAAGCCCAAAGACCGGCCCGAAATGGTGGCCCGCCGCCTGGCCAGCGACCCGTCCTTCCGCGCCAGGTGCCGCCAGGGGCTGCGGGAGGCCACCGCCGGCGGCGGGCGGGTGCTGGACCGAGTCAAGCGGCTCAACGACTTCCTCGCCACGGTGGGTGCTGGAAGGCTGAGGGTTCCCATAGTCACGTGGTTGGGCCAGGTGGCGCCTCCACCCGCAGGGAGTTGTGTCGGCTGGTGCTCCCGGCGTCTGAAAAAGCATGCGCATCAATTGACCGCACGTGACAGTCGCTGCCCGCTTGTCCACCTCCGTGCCTGCCTGCCAGGGGTTGGTCCTGGAGGAGGATGAGGAGCCACAGCCTGGCGGCGCGCCAGTTGCCTACCCCCAGCACATGCCCTGGGAGACCCCTGCAGTGCAGGCGCCGCCCTCCCAACCGCCAGAAGCGCAGCTGCCAGTGCCGCCGCCTCAGCCGCCGCCGCCGCACATTCAGCCGCAGCCGGCCTCCCCAGAAGACAGCGACGTAGAGGAGTGTGGAGAGGCTGCCCTGTTGCTGGCAGCGCAGCGCGCGGCGGAGCAGCAGCACCAGAAGCAGGCGGCGGCGGCGGGCCGGGCCCAGGCCGCCGCGCTGACCATCCAGCGCCACTACCGGAGGCACCGAGCGCAGTGCCTGTTGTGCCTGCTGCGCGACCTGAAGCAGGCGTCCGACCGGCTGGCGGCTCGCGTCATACAGGCCGCCTATCGCGGAGCCTGCGGGCAGCGGCGGCGGCTGGCGGGAGCCGCCCTGGCCCGGCAGCTAGCGGCCCTGCGGCAGCGGCGCCGCAGGCAGCGCCAGGCGGCAGTGCGCCAGGCGGCAGTGCGCCAGGCGGGGCGCTGTGGAGGCGCTGCCCCCGTGGCGAAGGGCAGGGCAGGGGCAGCATGTGATGAGTCACAGCTGTGTAGTGAGGAGCAGCCGCCGCGGGGCACTGCCACCCCACAGCAGCAGGTGGGTGGTCCCGTTGGCAGCCTGCCAGCAACAGGGCTTGAGGCAGCACCAGCCGCGGTGGGGGCGAGCGCAGAAAGGGTCAGCAGCCAGCGAGATGACACCGCAACAGCAGCACCGGCGCAGGCCGCCAGTCCTGGCCGCTGCTCGACCGACGGAGCGGCGCAGCAGGAGGCACCCGCCCGCTGCTGCGGGGCGCCTGCTGCTGCGCTGCCGGACCCAGGGACTGGCAGCGAGGATGGAGGGCAGCCGGCTGCCGGCCCACAGTCGCACTCTGCCAAGCCTGCAGCAGCTGCGTCAGGGGTGTTGGCGGTGCCGCAGGGGGCGCTCATCGGACGGGTGCCCACTCCTCTCCCACCGTCTGTCGCGCCGCTGAGCCCGGGCCTCCCAGCCACCCAGCTGCTGCCCCGGCCTTGGAGCGGCGGCATCGTCGCCCGCGGCCACAGCCCCGCCCTGGCACAGCACCGAGCAAGCATGGGGCCCTGCTACAGCAGCTGCAGCGGCAGCGGCAGCGGCAGCGGCAGCGGCGGCAGCAGCCGGCAGGCCACCCCGGGCCCGCCCGGCTCCAGCCTGGGCAGCTGTGGCAGCGGCTTCCTGCCTCCGGCATCTCCCGGCCGCCGCGCGGGCAGCAGCCAGCAGCGGGAGCTGTACCGCCGTACCAGCAGTATCCAGCTGCTGGAGGCGGTACAGCTGGGCTTGGACGACCAGGAGGGGTCCTGGGTGGCCTCCCAGGCAGCCCTAGAGGCCAGCGAGCGCACCCAGGACAGAGCGCAGGAGCTGCAGCGGCGGGCGTCCCTGGGCCGCCCGCCCGCCGGCGGTGCCGCGGCAGCTGGCACCAGGATCGCGCGCACGTGCAGCGGCTTGCAGCGGCAGGCCAGCCGGGCGCACTGGAGCGGCGTGGAGGCGATCCAGGAGTGAGAGGCGAGCAGCTGGATGCGCGAGCCTGCTGCTTGATGCGTCAATTCGACGTGCATCGGCGACACCGGCTGCCGGTTGGCTGTGTAAGCATGTCATGCTGGGTGGGTTACAGCGGGGCGCACACAACTTCACGGCAGGTTTGGCGTCGCTTCCAAAGTGGGGTGTGGCGGTCGATGATGCAAGGATGATTGGTGGGTGGCGGTGGGATCGGAACTAAAGCAGAGGAACAAATGGCACAGGCGTGCAGTCGGGTGTGGTGGTGCTATCAATGTGCGGCGCCCGGTGCCGGCAACTTGGTGCTCGATGCGGCGGGGATGCCGCCACACCAGCGGGCAGCAGTGAGATCGGGGGTGGTGGTAGGGTAGGGTGCCAGGTCAGCGGGGGAGCCACCTCAGCGCTTGCCCCTGCTCCTGCTGCGGGAAGAGGAACTGTAGCTGCTGCTGCTGGAGGACCTCCGGCGCCCGCGGCTGCGGCTGCTGCTGCTGCTGGGGCTGCTGCTGCGCCCCCTGCGCCGCGGCGGCGACGGCGAGCGGCGGCGCGGCGGGCTGCGGCGGCGCGGCGGGCTGCGGGCTCGGCCGGGAGGGCCGCCGCGGCGCGGGCTGGGGCCGCGGCGGAAGGGGCTGGGGCG